CCTGAAGGGAACGACCCTATAGAGTTTGGTTGACATAGCTATAGTAGTTTACGAGTCATATACAAAAGTAGGGGGCGGGGCCAAGCTCACTTTTCCAAAAAAATTACGTCCAAATATGCCCCTCCCTAATGCGATCCTTTGTGCCAAATTTCACTTTAATATTTTATAGGTCTTCGGTTTTCGCCATTTTGTGGGTGTGGCAGTGGGCCGATTTTGCCCATTTTCGAACTTAACCTTTTTATGGACTCAAGAAATACGTGTACCAAGTTTCATCATGATATCTCGATTTTTATTCAAGTTACAGCTTGCACGGACGGACGGACAGACATCCGGATTTCAACTCTACTCGTCACCCAGATCACTTTGGTGTATATAACCCTATACCTGACTCTTTTAGTTTTAGGACTTACAAACAACCGTTATGTGAACAAAACTCCTATACTCTCCTTAGCAACTTTGTTGCGAGAGTATAAAAATATGTTTTCCAGTATTCGTAATATATTGGAGCAGGCGATGCCGATGCCAATAAAGAAATTATCCTAAGATGAAAGTTAAAGCTGGATACTAAACTCAAACATGCTTCAAAACTTCTTAAGAAATGTTGCCACAACCAAGATATTAAAGCGATGGTGTGACCTGTTCCATCCCTTCACCTAAAATCCAGTGATTCTCAGTTTCAAACAAAAAATTTAATTATTATTTTTCTAAGCGCAAAAAATTTTAACAAAAAAAAGTATTTGGTGCCTTAAAAAGAACTATACTTATTCTACATACATATGTATATTAGGAATCAATAATTGAGTAAATATTACCTAAGTTTAACGGGATATTTGCAGACAACGGACGCAATCAGCTTGTATTTATTAATTTTTCCGTCATTGTATACAGCATAAAATGTCAAATGCATATATATAATCAAGCACTCCACATATCTACATATCAGCGATCAGTGCTCCATAAAACTTGGCAAACACTATAACCAGTACTTATCGGCAACTCCTCCCCGAGTACGTGCAACACAAAGGACAAATGCGCAATTACTTTTAAGGCACACATGGATGAGCCACTGCTGCGCTTCCCAACAGTTTCGCATATTTACAGAAGCATGTGTGCAGCTATTTATGCACTACAAAAGCAATAACAATAAGTTAAATGCAGATTTGCATCACTTTCGCATAATGTTGTGCAACCGGTTGAGTGCACGTGTGTGAGTGCATAATGCTTATTTGACGCTTTTCTAGGGAATTAACCGAGTGCTTTACATAATTCCCCAATAAGCTTGTGCTCGCTAGTTGCGCGCATAAAAATGGAAATTAATTGGACTTAACATGTTTACTGTGAGCATATACCATATGCATGTTTTTGTTGTATTTGTAACAGGTATTAGGTTAATTGAAGGAAATAAAATACTTTGAGATTGTGTAATATAAATTGGCGTTACTATCGCTCACAAAAACCTAAGCTTGCCTTGCCATGACAACAACATTTTATACAAGGAATTTTCTTCAACGTTGTACAATTTCTAATCTCTCTTAAATTCCTCATATATCCTCAGCAAAATTAAATTTCTGATGCCGCTTCCCCACATACCGTTTCAAATGGATTTGCGCAATCAAACACACATACAAGCAAAAGCACGTGGTAAACTTAAATCAATTCAGAAATGAGAACGTGACTAGGAAGCTGACGTTTACGAAATCTTACGTGACGCTCATATATTTTCGCTTATGGAGCACAAAAATACAACAGACTTGGAATCAAATAAAAATAACAAAAAAATACAAAGGACTTAGAATCAAATAAAAATCACTAAACTGTACACAACAACAAACGTTGCGAGACGCAAAACTTCTAAGCATTTAGAGCAACAAATATATAGCTGAGCGAATAAAACGCAAAAGGTAAACACAAATAAATTTTCATCCACATTAGCTGAGCAAACAAAAGTAAATAAAACAGTGGCAAACAAAGCAGCACTCTGCGGCTATAAAAACTGCAAACAAAGGAAATAAGGAGCGGCGGATAAGAAGAAACATTAGTTTTGGCTGCAGCGAAGCTATGATATCCTACATAGTTGCATTTCTTATAGCATAAAGGAATACGAAAAGACCTTTATCTTGCTTTGGATGGTCAGTTTATATGACAACTATATGTTATAGTTCGTTGATTTGGAAAAAATTTTCACATCTTTTAGCAGTGCCTTGAAGTATCTTTTATGGTAAATTTCGTGAAGATATCTCGTCATTTAAAAAAGTTTTTCATTTAAGGACTTAATTTTAAATGTCTGTTTGTATGGCAGCTATATAATATAGTAGTCTAAACTGAAATTTGTTTTTCCGATATTGTAGTGTAGCTTTGGAAAATAAGTAGCACTGAATTTCGTGAAATATCACTTTAAATAAAACAGTCTTTCATATAAGGATTTAATTTTGATCGGTCAGTTTGTATGACAGCTATACGCTATAATGATCCGATCTGAAAACTTTTTTCAGATATGTTAGTGTTGCTTTGAAAAATAAATAATGCTTAATTTCGTGAAGATATTTCGTCAAAGGAAAACGTTTTTCATATAATTCCTTATTTTTATAGGTTAATTTGTATGGCAGCTATGTGCTAAAATGTTCCGATATCGGCGACTCCAACACATTAACAGCTTTTTAGTAGAAAAGAAAGTACGCAAAATTTCAGATCATTATCTCATAAACTGAGCGACTAAAGTCCTGCAGATCATTTATATAATACTTTACAGAGTCTCCAACAATTTCTGTTGTGAGTTACAAACCTCGTGTGCAAACTCAATATATTGCGTAATATGTTCAAAAATAAAGGAATTACAATAAAAGTGTTTAAATCAGCACATAAAATACATGTGGGAGAAGAACTCATATACATATACTATGCTCTTTAGTATTATAGAGATGGTGTGTACTAAAAAAAAAAAGGAAACTAAACAATATATGTATGTGCATGCGACTCCATCACTTTATTGCAGCTCTTTTGAGATTAGGGTTGAGACCGACGCGCGAAATTTTACTTTCTTTAACACCTGACACGTGGGCCTGACACGTGGGCCTGACACGTGGGCCTGTCACTCAGACAACTCTTAAACCTTTTGCTGCATTATTTAAAGTGTTTTTAAACGCACAACTACCTACTAAGTAGCAAACATTTTTTAAAGAACATTTTGCGAATAAAATTGCCAACAATTGCCTACTTATAGGGTTAGAAGCTGCATTAAATATATTTCTGTATACAAATGATTTTTAAAAAGTGAAAATTTATTCAAATGTGCTCATATACTTATACATAATAAACCGTTTCTAACAAGTTTCAGCAAAATAAATTATATAAAAGGCGATAAAGAAAACAAATCAATTAAGCCACGTACAAAAGTATGCAATAAATATAGTAATTGGTTGAAAAACATACTCCACATTAGGCGTTTTTTATACAAACAAGCAGCAAAGACATACCTCTCAAAATATTGTCAATAGAAAAACAATAGAAAACTTAAATATTCAATAAAATAATCCGCAAAATGCGCTTTGCTCTCCGGCGCCTATTAGCATATTTAAAGCGAACACAAACAATCAGCGAAATCGAAACGGGTGAAAATTCCATGGCACAGATTTTTGCATGTTCGCCAAATAAACGTCGCCCACTAATTGAATCAACATGACCCTTTCTGTACCTACAGACTGCTAAATGCCGGCTGCCACTGCTACTTTGCATACTTTCCGGCGCATTTCCAATGTTTATATAGGCTAAACATGTTTTGTGCAAACAGCAATAGAAAACGTATATTTAATGAGGCACAAATATTTGATTTACAAAATTTAAATTAACTCGAAGTTTTTGCGTCACTTCGGTAAGTCGTTGCGTTTGTGCCTAGCAGCAAGTGGGCGTATGCTACACGAAAGTGCAGAGGTAAACTATTTGATTTAAGTAAATGTGCTGTATAATTGGAGTAGGAAAATGTAACTGTAATTACCATTAAATATGGCGGAAAGGTGATGTGGGGGAACATATGATACTATAATTTGGTCTATAATATACATACTATATATCTATTGTGCTCTCGTATAAAATTGAGTATAAGAGGCACAACTGCGGTACAAGGAATATTTGTAAAGAAGAAACTGTTTTATTTAATTCAATATTTGGACCAAATTTTTTTTTATTAAGTCGCCTGGATACTTCATATTTCCAATTGCACTTTATCTTTTGCACAATTTTACAAGGCATAGAAATATAAATTTGTATGCTTATCTCTGCTTTGTAGTGTTCTGGCTATGAAATCCTTACAAGTACAATTACAAACTACAAACTACAAAACTACAAACTACAATACAAAACTACCAACTACAAATTATAAACTAAAAACTATAAACTCCAAACTTCAAACTTCAAACTACAAAACTACATACCACAATACTACAAACTTCAAACAACAACCACCTACTACAAAACTGCAAACAACAAACTACAGACTACATCCTGCAAACTACAAACTGCAATACCAGAAACTGCAAACTACAAAACTATAAACTACAACTACCAACTACAAACTACAAAACTACAAACTACAAAACCACAACTACAAAGTACAAGCTAAACTATAAATACAAACTAAGAAAATAAATACAAATGCGAATGCAATTAAAATCACAATGCAAAGTCATATTCAATAACAATAACTAAATAGTTGGGAGTGATGAATGGAATTAGAATTACTAAGTTTTCCCGTAGCACCACGTAATATTAATAAACCCATACCATGCATCATAGTTAATTCATTGAATCTTCAATCATATTATGTGAAAAAACAATAAAGGCGTTAATAAAGTAAACAATCATTTTCGTTGGAAATACTCTACTTGTTTATTAAGAATTTAACAGCTAATTATCGAAGACAATTAAATGAAAACGCATTAGAATTAAAGACAAGTTGCTATAAAATGAAGTGTATTGACAGCTTTCGAATCACTTATCTACTTAAGTTTAATAGTGAGTGAGACCAACCGGCCGCAACAGTGAAATGATGACAAAATTCTTTTGTGTAACTTTATTATCATCCTTCATCATGGTACAGGTAAATAATATGCATATAAAAATTTTCAAAATTTCTTTTTATTTATTTACGTGAATATTTTAGAAGAAATATGTAGATAGCTAAATATCCCAAGTTAAAACTAAACTTACTTCATTTCAGCTGATCGTTACCAGCTCAGCTGTACCTGTGCAAATCGAGGAGGCACAAGCAGTAATCAGCACAGGCGTTAATGAACTCCCCGCTGATAGTAAACTCGATTTAGCCGCACGCCATAAAGTGTTGTTGGAATTTGAAAAGCATTTTGCGCAATTTTCTTGTGAGGCGATTAAAGTTATTTTAGTTGACTTGAAAGCTGCGCCAGAGCATATTGTTGCGCATGACGACAAAATCACTGCTTTGAAGAACGCTTTGGACAAAATTAAGAAAATAAACTTAATCAATGAGCCGTTAGATCCGCTTGAAGTACGCGCCGCGACCAACATAATCGGCGAATTAATTTCTCAAACAAATATTAACTTAGTAAGCGCTGTGAAGGAGCATGGGCAGCTGGCATTTGAGTTGCAAAGATTTAATTTTTTCCTTGGCGAGGCCTTTGATGATCTCATTGCAACACTGACGCCAGAGGAGCGGGAGTTGGACGCTGGCTTGGTGAGTCTGCATAAGCAATACAACGAAAGTGACAATGATGAAAAATGGCAATTTTGGATTAAACTGTGGAATTATTTTGAGTAATAAAACTGCTATAAGTAGCAGGGAGTTTGATAGTTTTTAAGCTCAATGTATACATATATTAATTCATAATAAAAGTGGGTTGGTTTTCTGTCGTAAATAGTACCATTTTCGTTACTTAAAATTATCGTACGATCTATCGGATCAAGTGACTTGTTAATAATTGACAAGCATGTCTTCCTGGTGGTAGTCGTCAAGTAACGCATGTCTTGATACCAGCATTGAAAGCCATAACTTAGAACTTGCAGGCAATTTTATTTTGTATATAGACACCATTATCGGAAACGATAATTGAAATATTGCTTGAATTAAAAATTCGAAACTAAACCTCTCCTGCCAAAGCTACCAGCTAATGTCTCTCTCAGAGTCTCTGGCATAGTCTGAGCGAGATGTTCTTTGTGGTAAAGGCGTTCTATAGTGGAAAAGTTTAAGGACAGCTCTCGAAATGAAATAAAGAAAATAAAAAATATATTTTTATATATAAAATACCACGGAAAAAGTAAAAGTAACAACAATTTAAAAACTTTTCAATATGAAACCGAAAGGAATTGAGCTTTTCTCATGAATTTTCTCAAATCAAACAATTTTACCACTCAAGTAAATTTCTTTTAATACTTTCCCTGTGGTTCCCCCTTACAGGAGGGTACACAAGTAACATAACTGTTATAAATTTTTATTTCACAACAAACCTTTAATTGGTCATTTCCCTTACAAGTGCCCAATTACTTTTACAGCACGCTATAAATCTGAAAGTTTCGTGCATGGAACCAATAAATATTGAAAATGCTGGCGCTACTTCGGTAAAGTAAACTTCTAGTAACAAGCGCGCAGCCGTAAATTTAATTAAAACTTTAATTTGCTTGAACTTTATGGCTGCCAGAGTGACCGAAACCGAAACAAGGAGCCGCGCCAGAAGGCTAAGCGCGAGGAAGAAGGAAAGGCCGCCATTAAAGAGTCGCATTGAAGGCAAAGAAAGTGTGAACAAGTCCAAGTGAAAATACGTGGAAACGTCTTTTATAGGAAACATACTACATACACATGCATGCATACAAAAAAAAAAAGTAAACGAAATACCAAAACAATATGGTCTTGCTGCAAATTCAATGTCAAGTGCAGCCAACATTGTGTTATTGTTGTATTATTTTGTCTATATATAAAATGTTGCAGACTCGTGTTGGCTTTGTGGCAGCGTAGGTGCCATTGGTGGCCTTATAATAATGGCGAGAATTGTTTTGTGAAAATTCACTTCTTTGTTGAGGTTTGCCTTTCTTTGCTCCAAACCCTGCAAATCCTGAACCGTTAGCTCTCTCCTTCTTCAATCTTCAGAAGACTCGCTGCAGACGGGATGTGGTAAATATATTTAAGACAAACAAGCAGATTTGGCTCAGATATAAAGTAGCAAATTAAAACAGAGGAAAAAGCAACAAGTGTTAACCTTCAGTCGCAATCGTGGAATAAAAACTTTTTAGGTAGCTTGCTCTTATCCCAATTTAATCTGACCTCAAGCGATATTCTACTTTTTATATTATATTTATATCCGAACTTTAGCTTATTCAGTGATTAAATTACGTCAGGTCGTACTTAGAACTTGGATATATGTTCGTTTTGAATCCATAAGCTACACAAAAAAGGATGGATTTTAGATCTGAGCCACTCGTCTAAGCTCGATAATAGAAGATAAGGTGACAAGATGATTTCAGCTCGGCTTGGTTCAACTGGAACGCAAGGGGACTTCATGAAACCGACACATTTCCAATCGGATGAAATTGGTTGCCCTCTCTAACAAGCTCATTGAAAGTTCGCGATTCGTTGTTACTGGGTATGCATACAATTCTAAAATGAAAGAAGCTTGATACTACTGCCAACGAGGTTATGTACTCCTTGACAAGTTTTGTGCACACATTCAACGAGCTCAAAGCTTATGTATTTTCTCGGCCATTGTAGAGAATGTATGTACACAAATTTTAAGTAAGCTGCACTTCGGAGCAATACATCTACTGCTAACTTGATGATAGCCACCTCCACTTGAAAGACGCTACAGTGGTCTGTTAGCTGTTAGCCTGAAAGCAGTATTGATGGATAGCTTCCGACACAAGATTTCACCTCTAAACCCCGCCTAACTGCAAGCCATCCGTGAAAAAGCTTGCCAGTTGTTAGTAGTTAAAAGTGAAAAAAATGTAGGGGACATACCAGTTCCCATCATTGCAGCGGTATTCTAAACATGATTACGTTGATCAGTTATATAAGATATTTGATTCGCTTCAGCTTAACTTTCAAGGTATCTTCAGATATCGTCTTGTACTTCACCTAACTTCAGACAACGTTTCGTACTTTACCAGTAAAAAAACAGCCTACCGATTAATCTGCTTTCATTTATAACCCCTAACTGTAATTAAATCATGTAACAATCAGAAGAAACATCAGAGATCAACTAATGGTGTTTAATAGCGTACAGTCATACTTCTGGTTAAACAGTTACACTCTACTTTCTACCCTTGTGTCCTCGCCACGCACCCTGAAAATGTGAGCAACACAGGTAGCGGTCGTTCTTGAATCTCGCGACTCGCTATATGAATGTGTACCATATTGACGCAGTGATGATTAATTCTTTTATCTTCTTCCGCCGCCTGGCCTCCAGGTCTGAGAGTAGACACATTACCCGCCGGAAGAGAATGATCTCTACTCTGTTAGAAATACCTGGTGGAGAAGGACCAGGCTACAATCTGCGATTGGCGCTAAGCAGTGAAAAGGAGGTACGACTGACGCGCTGTTGTAAGTTCGGCTATAACCACGTAAGCCGTGTCTACTCCAATAAGGATGAAGAAGATATGAAGAGCTATTTCGTAAGAACTTATCGCGACGTAATTTGCACCGCGCTAAATGCTTATTCAGCTGTTCTAGATTGCACCATTACCGTTATGTAGCACTTCGTCTTATCAAATAAACAAAAACGCTCGCGTCTTAAATATCGCTAGAACGACAAATCTCCTCAGCTTACTCAGCGGCAGCTTAAGCAGTAATCCTCAATACTGCTTAGATCTAACAATTGACTTCCGAAATGACTGGAGATTATTTAAATACAGCCAGCTTGTGCAACAGTGTCAACACAAAGTCCAGCAAGGCAAAGCCAGGAAGCCAAAAAGCTAAAACAACAACAGCAAGCTGCTAAAGCTTCCTTCGGCAAGCCATGTAAATATGTAAGTGTGCGTATAAGTGTTTTTGTAACAACGCAAACTAATCCACAAAGCCGGAATGAACGAGCAAATCCTCAAGCAGTTTGAATCTTTTCAATAAGTGGGCAACGGCTGGTTGTTGTTGTACACAAACTTCTCAGAAAATGAAAGGAACAAAAAACACTTTGAAGATATTTGTTATATTTGAGCAATGTGTTAATAATAACTTTGAAATAAATTTCACAAATATTCAAAGGTCTGCCTGTGTATTTTGGTTAGTTAGCCGGTTCTTCAAGTTTTGCCAGCCAAATTAAGCGTTGAAAAGAGAGTAAATTGCGTAAATGTGCAGAAGAGCTTTATATGAACAGTATAGTTTATTATTATATATTTTGCACTATATACTATAAAACAACAACATGTTGGCAGATATCCTATTTAAAGCGCTTCAAGTCAGTGCTCGATTCCGGTGCGGAAAAAATATTACATATGCATATTAGGGTGGGCTAAAGTAACATTTTTTAAGTCAGTGCTCAATACTTTCCCAAAATAAATTCAGTGATTCTGGTACGGAAAAAATATTATATATGCATATTAGGCTGGGCCAAAATATTTCTAATAAATGCACTGATTCTGTGGCAGAAAAATATATAATATGCATATTAGGGTGGGCAGAAATAAAACTTTCTTAATTCATTGCTCGACACGCTCTCATAATAAATGCTCTGATTCCAGTACGGAAATTTTTTTATATATACATACATATTAGGGTGCGCCAAAAAAACCGTTTTTAGTTAGGGTGGGCCAAAAAAAGCGTTTTTACGGAAAAATAGTATACGTTCATATTAAGGTGAGCCAAAAAAACTTTTTAAGTCAGCGCTCGATACTTTCCTAAATGCACTGATTCGGGTAAAATATCGGAAATAATAGTATATATGCATATTAAATATATTATATATACGTATTAGGGTGGGCCAAAATAAAATTTTAAATTGTTTGTCAACAAGTTATTCGCAGTCACATTTCAAGCTTACATCGGAAAAGATAATTTTTATAAGTTTTTAAATTTGTTCACAAATTACAATTTACCAATTTGTTTCGTAATTTCGTAAGATACATATGTTCACGGTGGCTAAGCGAAAAAAATTATAATTTTGGATATGAAGAAAAAATTTTACCCACCCTAATACATATATTTATTTGAGGAATCACGTTCCTTTACACGTTTTCAAAATTCGGCACGCAATCATCGTCTTCGTTTCTTGGTTCTCCCTGCGAATAAACGTAGCTTTATCCACTGCCATGCATCAAGGACAAGCGCTCCACAATTATTCACCCAAGCAACCAAACAAAACGCAATGCGAAAAAGCTTGCAACGTGCAACAAATTCACACTGTGTACTGTACGGTGCATGATTGCTCAGCTAACTTCCCAGCGAATGCCAAATATTCATGTTGTATAAATAAATTTCCATACATTGTGGTTTCTGTATGTGTGTGTGTTTGGTCTCTCGTCGACACATTTGTATGTATTTATTTCCGTTTATTCACGCGCACAATGTTGCCCGCAAGTTGCCGAACGGCAGCCATAAGGCAACCACTTCTTGAGGTTGACAAATGCATTCTAGAATTTCATATTATACTCACACTTATAAATTTATGTATGTAGTTGTATGCGGAAGATCCAGTCATGTTTACAAATGCTGTACAGTAAGCTCTTTAAGAGGCAGTGAGAAGTCCGTTAAACATTTTATATTTTATCACTCTTAAAGAAATAGTAATAGTTGCCCGATAGTTTTGACAAATTTTCACAAAAATAAGAAAAATAGAAAAAATATCGTGGGTTTGCGAACATCCGCGTGGAGAGATCCTTCTTGATGGTTTTTCTTTGATAATATTATCAGACGACTGAATTCGT